ATATGGTATTTCTAATCACAAATTTTTTATATCTAGAAATGTAAAATTTTATGAAATGATTTTTCCTTATAAAATAATACTAATCCTGTTTTAGATAATGGTTCTGTCCATTCTGATTCTGTTTTAGATTCCTTCCCTACTAATTATTATACTTATGACTATAATTTAACACACCTTCTAAAAAACATTTAGAAAATCAGATCAATGAGGAATTAAATACTATGAATATACATGATTCTACTACTAATACAGAAACTGTTACAGAGGATCAATCACAAAGAAAATCTACCAGAGTAAGATCTCTTCCTATACATCTTCAAGATTACAGTTATGAATTACCTAATTCTATTACTACGGGTAATTCTTCTTCTTCTTCTTCTTCTTCTTGTACTTTTATTAGATATCCTATTCAAAATCATATTACACATACTAGATTAGGAACTGCTCATTCTTTTTTTACTGCTGCACTTTCAAAAATTGTTGAACCTAAAACATATAAACAGGTTGCTAAACTTCCTGAATGGTAGAATGCCATGTCTCATGAAATTCAAGCTTTAGAAAATAACAAAACTTGGATATTAGTTCCACCTCCTCAAAATCAGAATATTATAGGATGTAAATGGGTTTTTAAAACAAAACTAAAACTTGATGGTTCTTTAGATAGATATAAGGCCAGATTAATGGCTAAAGGCTATGCTCAAGAAGAAGGTTTTGATTATTTTGACACTTTCTCTCCTGTTGTAAAATTAACCACTGTCGAAGTTATTTTGGCTATTGCTAGTGCTAATATAAACAATGCTTTTTTACATGGTGACTTAAATGAAGAAATCTTTATGCAGCCTCCTCCAGGTTATTTACCTCCTACTGATAACAGAATTTGCAAGCTTGTTAAAAGTCTCTATGGTCTTAAACAAGCATCTAGGCAATGGTTTTGTAAGCTATCTAACTCTTTAAAGCTTTTTGGTTACAAACAGTCTCAGGCTGGTTGCTCTTTATTTACTAAAATTGCTGGGACTGCTCTTACTGTGCTTTTAGTTTATGTAGATGATATCATCCTTGCTGGAAACAGTATGGAAGAAATCTCTGCAGTAAAAACTTATTTAGATAACAAATTTACTATTAAAGATACTAGTAGCTCACCCGTGCGATGCACGGACAAACAAATTTCATACAAACTACTCAAGGAAATAATAATATGCACTAAAAAAAACTTCTTTATTTCAAATAAAGGAGAACAACTAAATGTACTGCTTTTAAAAAATTACTAATAACCAATTCCAACATGAGTTTTATAAATTTTTGAAAACTTTTTTGTAGACAATAGTCACAATACTACGTATTGTAGACAATAGTCACAATACTACGTATTAGTTATCTTCGTTGTGCTTTGACCATCCTCATCTATTCACAAAGTTTTAATGATTGGTGGCTCTAGAAACCGTAACATTAAGCATGAAATGAAATAATTTATTTCAAAATTAATGACAATTACTATATAAAATTAGGATTCATCCACGACTTTTTACACTTCCTTTTATGATAATTTATTTTATAATATTTAATATTTACAAATAATCCAAATCCCAATATGTGCTATATAAGATATGTGTGTTTTAACTTGTTCATATATCAACTTTTATAAAACTAACTACCGTAAGAATTCTAATAAGTAGTGCTTTTTATTAATAATATTAAAGGTGTTTCCTATTCCAATACATGGCGTGAAGAAAATTCGGTGTCACATTATCTAGCGGATCAAACATCAACCCAATTACAAATTTTCAACCGGGCCGAAGACTTACCCATTTCAGCTAAGATGGCTTTCTTCATGCACTTATTTGGAGTTCCAGCTCTTAGACTTTTATAATTTTCTTTTATCATGTAATTTATGAGTCAGGTTTTATGCCCCCCATATTTTTTTACTTTTTTTTCTCTCGCATATTTTTATCTCGATGTATTTTGAGGAGGTATGCCTTCTCCGAAGGGGTTTTTGTCTAGTCCCCCGTTCTTTTTCTATCTCTCTCATCTTTTTTATTAATAAAACTCTGGTAAATGTTCTTCACCATTTACCCCACCGATTTTGGTGGTGTACCTACCGGGTTTGAAAAAAAATTCAAAATCAAGACCACCCCATTTTCACAAAAATTAATACAGGATTAGGTGTAGCCCAACATTACTCACCCATAATTAAAACTTCCATTACCACAATAAGCCTTTAATGACATTGTGTATAAGCTAATGATGGGATAAGGTTTCTTCACATGAAAGTCTTCATCTTCTATCATTCTCTCGCATACATTCTCACAAACACTAAAGTCCTCCATCTGCCCAGCTTTTTCCTTTGTTCTTATCTCGACTGCCTACTTCTTTCCCTAACAACATAGATCGGATCCCATAACGCTTTTTATTAGACGAAGTGACATGTTAAAATTTGAAATTTTACAATGACTAAAGCTAGAAGAAATATTATCTCTCGCACAACTTGACTTAATTTAATATATTGACACGGTGTCTTAAAAATACTATCACATAGTCATATTCATTTCTATCAATTCTCTTATATTGTTATAAAATAAATAAGTTAGGCAAGAAATATTTGACATCGCTAATCCAACTTTGTAAGCTCATATCAAATTTAGCCCATTTTTCTATTTGGCCCAACCACCCACACACTAACCAAATAAATTAAGTTAGGGTTTTTATCATTTAGTCAAACTGTTCGTCCCCTCATTTTTCTCTCTGGCCAGCTCAATCTCTTGTCTCTTTTATTCATATTTTTGTTAGATATGTTTAGAATTTAGATAATAATCATATGTCCAGGTCTCTTTCTCCTTGTATTTTCCTGGTTATAGATAATATTTTGTCTAATATATTTGTTTGATGTGTTTTCTTCTCCAAGAAGTTCTCTTGTAAGAAATTCTCTCTGTCCGTGCAATCGGGTTCTTTTGTTTCATGAGGCTAAGTTTTCTTTTGTTCTTTATATGTTAAATGTACCAAACCCCCTCGTGAAATATAAATCTGGCGTATTAGCCCCTGTGATTTTAAAAATGCGTCAAACCCCCTTGTGTTTTAATTAATTATACACAAAAACCCCTTCAAGAACAAATTTTATAATTTTGAAATCACTTTTTTTTAATAATATGGTTGAATATGCAAGTAACTTTGTCCAAATTTCTAAATTATACGAAAAACTAATCATTTTTCATTTTTTTGGAAATTAAATTTGTTCTTGGAGGGGGTTTGGCGCATGATTAATGATAACACATGGGGGTTTGACGCATTTTTTAAATCACGGGGGGCTAATTCACCGAATTTATATTTCACGAGGGGTACTGTGCATTAAACCCTATGTTATTCGGATCCCACGGATGAAGAACTGTCAAGCGAAGATGAGCTTTTCCGTCTCTGTAATATGGTAAGATTATCCGTATACTTCGTATATACCTATATTTGGGCGCAATATGTAAAAATAATTTACCATTCAATTAGCAAAACCAAAAAACTTCTTTAGTCGCATGTTTAATAGATTTTGGCTGCATGTTGAAAACCAGTCATATTTTTTGTAAAAGTCGGTTTATCAAATGATCATTATGGCTTTTTTTATATATAAAATAGTTCCACTCTTCAACCTTTTTTTGTCTTCTTTTAACACTATAAGGCAAAATGTGTTTTATATTAGCACCATAGTAAAATTGTTTCTTTAAAATCCTTTATGTTTTTCTTTGTTTTAGAATATGAATTCTGCCTTAATGTATTTGTTTATAAAATGCCACAGTATTATCCTTCAAAATACTCCCTCCGGTCCTAAATAAACTTCACACTTTGACTTCACACAAATTAAGGAAATAAATTTGACTTTACTGTAGAGTACACTGTTGTGACACTGTTTGACACTGTTTGGCACTGTTTTGATGTAGATAATTTGCCAAATGAGGAAGGGAGAAGAAGTGTGAAGTTTATTTTGGACCTACCCAAAATGGAAAGTGTGAAGTTTATTTAGGACCGGAGGGAGTATATTTTAAAAATACATCTTAAATAGCCTGTGCAAAATCTAAAACTCAAGAAGCATATATCTATTTAATTTCTAAGTAAATACCCATATTTTTGTGTTGTATACCCGACAAATTCTTGGGATCGGAGTTGCTTTGTCATTCATTTAAAAATAATCTTTTTTACTGATATTGTATGTTGTCTAAAATTTATTTACACAAACTATATGCAATTCTCACTGATATTTTAATCTTGTAAACTACACAGTACATCATAGTTTGACATTAGATATGAGACATAGAGTATTACTTTTTCATAAAATTATGAAACTGTTCTTAGAAAATTATTACGGAGTATATGTTTTACAAATAGTGAAGTCCTCCTATGAGGCTCCTATGAGAGAAAACATATTTTTTATACGGAGTATTTAAATCAATGCTTTCTACTCTATTCGTAGTTTCAAACATTTTTGCTAGAAAATGCTTGGCTTGTAGGATAATCATAATTATATATGCTTTTAATCCATTTAAAAGTTAATGTATTTCAATTCTTTTAAAAGGTAGTTAATTTGTAAGCAACCTATCAAGTCTAACAATATTTATAGCAAAGTTAGATATATGCTTATCTAACTTAATCTAGTCAATACTTATCTAATTTACATAAGTTTTTACATGATTTGGAAAATCAAAAACTCAAAGATGCATGATTTTTCAAAATCTATTTTTAGAAGAAAGTTAAATTTTGTCTAAAAATATAGATGTTGATGTGGTGATGAATAAAACATATAGCATTAATCAATATATAAGAATAGCTAAACAAATTACATGCATGTTTGGTGTTCACATGCTTTATTGGTTTTACTAATTGAGAAAGTCAAAATCACAATAGTTATTTGTCATTTGTTCTTATGAACATTCACGCCTTTTAACCTAGCTATGATGTACTCTAGTAAAAAAACTTATAATGTACTCATAGATTGCCTTACTTCTTAATCTGTTGATTGTATGTCATTTGTCTTTATTTCAAATCTGGCCAAGAATCCAGAATCATAACCTTCAATACATAAATTTCTGTAACCAAATGAAATTTTAAACATAACCAAAGAAAAATATTTTGTATGAATTTTATTTTATTTCTTCTCAAATATGACATCCAGAAAAGGGGTGGAATTTCTGTCTCTTGACCATGTTAACAATTAGTTAGTGTAGAGTGGCAGTAAGATATCTGATGTGCGTCACGAAAAATACATCACTCCATGTTTGGCGGACCGTCCTCACTTTTACTGCAAATGAAAACTTGCTTTACTTCACAACACTATCGTTTCGAATGAATAAAGATAACAAAATAATCAGGTAGCACTATCTCTGAAGCAGGAACTGAACAACATTGTGTGCATTGAGTTATCTATTTATACTAATTATGATGTAAATAATCGATTAAGTTCCTCACATTGAGCCTGCCAATTTAATAAATTTGACATATTTCCAATGACGACTTTTTAGTGCCGTAAATCCACAAAGGAAACCCAAAGGGTTGGACAGGTGTTTTTAAGAAGCATTTGGACAGATGGTTAATGCAATAAATGTCACAATAATCGAGAGATGTAACAGGCAGTGCATTAAATGATAATAATCTGGTGCATCTCTCCGCAAGGCATAGTAGATTGGACTTGCAGGCATTTAGGCGGGAACACTGTGCAAAACTCATTTACTATTATATTATAATAATTGATTGTTACATTAAAATATACTTTGGGAATTGAAATTGCTAGGTCTGATAAAGGTATAAATTTATGTCAGAGAAAGTAAACTTCGGATATTCTAACTGACTATGGTTATCTTAATTCTAAAACTTTTAATACTCCTATAGACTCCAAACTTAAACTGTCTAAAACTGATGGAACTGTTTTAGAAAATCCTAAAACATATAGAACACTTATTGGTAAATTGCTCTATTTAACTGTAACTAGGCCTGATATTGCTTATAGTATACAAGTTCTTAGTCAATTTCTTGCTTCTTCTACTGATGTTCATTTAAGTGCAACTCATAGGGTTCTGAGATACCTTAAGAATTTTCCAGGTAAAGGTTTATTTTACCCATGTACTTCTGATTTTTCTATACAAGGATACACTGATTCAGATTGAGCAGTCTGCATAGATACTAGGAGAAGAGTTTCAGGGTATGCTTTTTACCTTTGTAATTCTTTAATTTCTTAGAAATCTAAAAAACAACAAGTTGTTAGTAGATCCTCAACTGAAGCAGAGTATAGGGCAGCTGATAATGCTGTGTGTGAGGCTCAATGGTTATCATATATTTTTAATGATTTACATTTACCTGTTTCCTTACCCATAATTATATATACTGACAACAAACCTACTTATCATCTTGCTTATAATCCCATACAACATCAAAGAACAAAACATATAGAACTGGATTGTCATTTAGTTAGAGAAAAAATTAATTATGAATTGATTACTTTGCATCATATTAAAAATGATTTTCAACTTGCAGATATTTATACCAAACCGCTTGGAAATCCTCTGTTTAGTCAATTTACAGTCAAGATGAACATGCAAGACATTCATGCTCCTCTTGAGGGGGCGTATCAAGAATAATAAGTTGGGACTGCTGCTTTGGGTCTAAAATATTAAGCTGGAATTGCTGTTATGGGCCTATTCATTATTCTATTGGGCTTTGTGTATATTATTTAATAGCCTTTATGTAATAAGTATAAATACCAAAACTTATTGTAATTAGGTTAAATTTTCATTCAATCGATATTCTTGCTTCCGCTATCTTCTTCTGCAAACCTTCATCATCTTTGATTTCAATTTCATCAAATTTCTTGAGATAAATTTCAACAGAGTCATTGCTAGTCAAACAGATTCTGTGAAATCAAATTCCCTTATCTCAAACTAGGGTTACCTTGATATATCTTACCTCAGCTGACCTCTTCCCACACATACCCTAAATAAACAGAAGATGAAGACATATTCACACACCTGAAGCTGAAAATGGATCCAAATAGTGCAATTTCACTAGTCCTTAGTATTATCTCCCTTCACAAACAATGAATGTCATTAATTATTAAATCCAATTACAACAAGAAAATAAATATTTCCACAGATAAAAGAACGTGATTAGAAGGTATTCTTCATACCTGCGACTCATTTCGGTAGGACAACTATCTTCTTGTGGGGGATGCTGCTTCTGGCAGCAGACTGAACGGATAAAGGAAGAAGAAGCAATGTAGCAAGAGTACCTCTTCTTCTTGTTGTAGTTGGGAATTACAAAGACAGAGTGTTGTAACACCATATAAGGAAGGCAGTTTATTTGGAAAGCCAACATTGGTTGTATTTGTTCTATCAATTTTGAGCCATGGATTTCTTGTATTTTTACCGTCAGCCGTTTGACAAGAGGTCGAGTGAAAGGGATTCCTTATTATAGAGAGACAACAATTCTATTATTGTTTCATTCTTAAAATAAGATTAGTCCATTCTTATTCAAAAAGTTTTAGTTTGTTTTATTCTTTTAATAGAATTGGATAAGACCTATTTAGGAAATAAAACATATTTATTCCTACTTTTAAACATTGTGTATGTTGATGACTTTGATCCAAAATTGAGCTTAATCAGCTGAAATTTATGAAATTCCGATCGAAACAACTGAATTGGCCGAATCACATTTTATTAATAAAATAAAGAAGAAATTACATAAGAAAATAGCTAAAATGGTCCTATTCAGCAAATTCAAATATAAAATTCACTTCGATCAACATTATTTATTTTATTCATTATACATTTCAGCGTGTAATATAAAAAATTACATATTTGATGAATAAGTTAGATGATAAAGTTGATAAGCCGAAAATAGGAGTTACCCAACGAGCTTCATGTGCTTTCAACAGCATGAGATTTGATAATATGCTTTCAACTTCTAAAGATAAATAATAATGTCATAAAGACTACAAAATACTTGATCTTAAATATTATTTTTGTAAACCCTCATTTAGAGGAACTCAAGAAAATGACAATTTGAGACTTGAGAGGTTTTGTAGTGTTTATAAACACATTCAAATTCATTACTTTCAATTTCAAAAATTATAAAACAAGAACAAGAGTTGTGAACCTCTGTTTTCCTTTCCATCTAAACCCCACTCCGAAACATAGGCTTCGTTTGTTTTTCAACGGGTCGCTAGCTAACCGCTGCATTTTGCAGCGTTTTGCTGTTAAAATTAATCAGCGGTTTGCTCCATCCGCTATAATCCAAACAAGGGCATAGTCTAAGATGGTTTGCATTTGCACCATCATGTGAAAAGATTCATTCTATAGATTACACTTTTATATTGAAAGTGTAAAAGAGTATAAGTTTTTTAGTGACATTTCATAAAATGAATTTTAAAAAGCTTATTGTTAGATGAAAATACTTAGGGAGTGTTTCGGTCTACTACTTAAAACTGCTTCTGCTCCTTGAATGAGCAAAAGCAGATATTGGAATGCTTGGCTGAAAGTCCAAAATCAGCTTAAATTAATTTGTTCTAGAAGCAATTTTTTAGAAGTTGGAGGAGATCAACTTCTGAAAAATTGATTCTAATTCTGCTTCTGAATTTAAAAAAAGAAGCGGAAGCAGAATCAATTAGAAACACCTTCTTATTTGAGTGAGATGTTATAGAAAAAGGAAAAACATTTTTGAACCACCTTCCACATTCATACATATGTTATTTTAAAATTTTCAAAATTAAGCGAAAGATGTAACCAGCCTTATGGTTACTTTTATTGTTGAAGTTTTATCAAACCATCTTTATAGGTCTAAATAAATTATTCACCTCCCATTCAATTTGTGACCAATAACGGAATCGTTATAAGTTTAGACATATCATGAATCTTAAAAGATGAAATTGTATTTAAGCACAAGATATATGGAAAAAAAAGTCGGCCAATCAAATTCCATAGCCAGACGATGAAAGCAAAGACTGAATTACAATTATTAACTGATACACATTAATTATTAGGCACGTCGTAGATGGGTGAGACATTATTGTCTAGAAGCCCAACCCAGTTAATGTGCCGCCCGCACATAGCTTGGAGGGTCAACTCTTGAAGAACGCCGGCGCCGGTGGCGCATGATGAAGCAAATGGTCTGTCATCCACCGGATCTTCAGCATCTCCTCTGTGTTGAGAGTTAGAATCTCAGTCCATTGGGATAAGAGTAGTTTGTAATAGGCCCAAGTGCATATTGATGTAATAAGCCTACTTGTTCATGTATAAAACCAATAAGTCAGTAATGAAATATTATGGTTTTCCTTCTCCACCTGTTCTAACTAACTGATCCATCAGTGGTATCAGAGCTTAACGATCGGAAAAAATGGCGCACGGTAATAGTAACATTCTTGGCAACCTCCCGGTGTTAGATTCCAAGAATCTGGACTGTTACGAACGATGGAGTGTAAGGATGAAGACGATATTCAGATTCCAAGACGTTCTGGACGTAGTTATGGAAGGCGTTCCAGCAATTGGAGAGAATGCGACGGAGGTACAACAGACACACCTTCGCGAAATGAAGAAACGAGATTGCAAAGCTCTTTTCTATATCCACCAATGTGTGGATGAAGCAAATTTTGAGAAAATTGCTTCAGCCTCATCTGCGAAAGAAGCATGGGGAATTCTTGAATCGAGCTACGCCGGAATTTCAAAATTAAGTACGGTCCATCTTCAAACTTTGCGACGACAATATGAACTTCTTCAAATGGCGGGTCAAGAGTCCATTCCCACATACTTCAAATTGCTTATCACCAATCTGATGAATTCCTGTGGCGAATAATTAAAGACAAGAACGATTATTGAGAAGGCATTGCGAACATTACTTCCTAAATTTGATATCATTGTTGTTAATGTGGAGGAAACCCGAGATTTGGATACTCTCAAATCGGAAGAATTACAAGGAACACTAGAAGCCATGAGCTGATTCAAAGAGAGGGATAGCATTGATATGAAGGATAAGTGCATGAGAATATATGTATTATGGAGTATATGGCCCAGGGACCCCCGGCTCATAGACTCCCACTACTATAACAAAGGCCCAATAAGCCCAGGAAGCACAGTAGGCCCAAATCACAGTGCCCCAAGTGCCAAGCAGCCCACGACATACACTGGGGTGCCTTCGGCCCCATGGCCGAAGGCTTATAAATTTACAGTACAGGTACTTTTAAGAACTCGAAGTGTCTGGGAGAAAACGGTGAAAACAGTAGCCTTCGGCAGTTAGAGCCATCGGCACTCTGAGCCCTCGGTACGCAGAGCCTTCGGACTGTCATCTACAGCCGAAGGCATCCTCCTCGATAGGATCTTCCAATCACATGCACTGGATCACCGTACCAAGTACAGACGTCGCGTCCAACCACCGCATTTAATGCGGCCACATGTGAGTGTCAGTGCCGCCCCAGTTGAAGTGACCCATCGACCACCAGATTGTTGACACGTGTCCCTATCTAGCATTAATTGCTGCTAAAAATAGCACCCCTTTCTCCATTTTTAAACCACGCTGAATTCATACTGAATACTCTCTCTTACTTACTTGTTCTGACTTCTCTCTAAGTTACTCCCCGCAGTAACCCCTCGGATAAGCTACCCCGGGTACACAATCCATCATTTCGTGCTCTCGTTGAGAGGTTTGAACACAATCAAGTGAGAAAACCTCCCGCAAACAACCAAAAATTCATCCCAAACACGCAAAAAAAAAACAGCCAAAAAAACTGTTCTAAATTCTACAAAAAATGAAATCTGGAAATTTCCAGATCTGGAGCATTCTCGGTAACATCCAGACTGCAGCAGAACGGGCCAACCTCAGTACTCACGGTGAAATGGAAGAATCTCGTCTTAGCCCAATGGATCTGAGGAAGCAAGCAGACCTGATGCAGCCAGGCAACCAGTAGCATGGATACGGCGGCCATTAGCTCGCTAGCAGCTAACTCCTTGATCTAGCTGGGTGCCGCTCGCCCATCCACCATGCCAGCAGCCGCTCGATCCTTCACCTCTCCATTAATGGCGGTTCAAAGTTCTTGAAACCCATGTTTTAGAAGCTAGGGCCGTTTTCTTCATCATCCCTTGCGTCAAGCTGGATGAGGGATTATCAGCAGCAGGTCCCTCTTTCTTCAGACTGTAAACAACGATGGGAGGACTGGAGGAGTTGTCCGCTTGCCGGTTGAATCTTCAGCGAGTTTCTCCGGCAGGTAGCGACGATGGACGAAGTCCCCTCTAGCAAATCGACCCCTCCAGCCAAGCTGTGAGTCGAGCGGAAGCGGGCGAAAGGTTATACCCTCTCCAACAGCTTCTCCAGCCTCCATCAGCTTCTTCACCTCCCCCAGCATCGCCCTTCTCTCTCCTTCCGCTCCTGCTGGCAGCAACAGTAGACAGTTAGCGGTCAGCAACCAGATCCGGCTACAGTTCTTTTCCAGCGGCTGCAATGCAAATGATCGGTTCGGTCAAATGACCTATCTGCGTCGTTTAAATAAGGGCCCGGGAGATGCTTTTGTTGACCCAATCAACTGTTAGAACCTTCACCAGGAAACATGGGCCAAGAGGGAGGCAGTGGGCCAGGCCATGTATGGTCCAACAAAATAGTTCAACGGGCTTCAATTTCAGCAACATATTTCAACCCAAGTAGCCCAATAATTCGGCCCACTTTAAAAAGATAAGTATCTTTAATTTTAATATTATTTATATTTATTTTGATCAATATTTTTGTCGGGTGAATGTCACACTATCACGCAATTATGATCAAATGCCTAGTAGAGTGTGGCTTGAGACCCATCACTATGATTCAAAGCCCTGACTCCTCAGACACAAAGTCCTGACTCCTCAGGCACAAAGCCCTGACTCCTCAGGCACAAAGCCCTGACTCTCAGGCACGAAGACCGTTCTTAGTCATTCCAAGAGTGGCGACCGTTGCACACGAATGGCTCACACCTCCACTCTACTAAGTATTTTATCATTACATCAATAATTCACATTTCCACTTTTTTCAAGTGACGAACTCTTGATCGGAAACATAAACCCCAAGAAAAAAAATTGTATGCATGTTAAATGTGTAGGTACGAAGATGACTTTACTCATTTTTCACCTCGTCTCCACTCGCCTCAAGGAGTAGGGGATTGGGGGACTGAGAGGTCAGATTTTCTGGATGATCAACAAAGATCACGCATGAGCAGGAACGAGAGCTAAGTCACAGGTTGGACTAGAGTGATTATGCCGGAAGGGGCTTACCTTCCTTGTTTCATGTTGGGGGCGTTAGGTGTACTCTTTTTCCCTTTATTAGGATTTTTTCCCACTGGGTTTTTTCCTAGTAAAGGTTTTTAACGAGGCACCTCCCTATCATGGACAAGGGTGGTGGTCCCCCGACCGAAGAGGAA